AAGCTTTAAGAGAGAGAACAAAATAGTAGATGACAAAAACGAGGCAAATACTAGATTAAGAAACTAAAGTGAGCCTCCCTTGCCTTCAACTTCGAGTTAGCAAGGACGGTCACCGGCTCCTTCGAGGAGCGCTGCCACGCATCATAAAGCTAAGTGGCTCTGACAAGGATCTGAACATCGGGGCTCTAAAATCTGCTGACAACACTAAAATGGGAGGTTGGAAAGAAGAATGAGGAACTGTGTAACCAGGTTTAAAGGAATTTGAATCATTTAGGTAATTGGGCCAGCAGATGGCAAATGCAGTGTATTCTGGAAGACTGTGAAATAATTAGTCTGAAAGACAGAAGCTAATCTAGTAATAATGATCTTCCATTTATGTAGCATTATTTTTTACAAAGCACCTTTCGCCAAGTGGTTCCCATAGTGCCTTCTGTAATGATCACGCACGGTATGTAAATGTGTTCACAGTGATAGAAGAGGCACTCTTGGTGGAACAGTGTCATCCGCACGACTGTCGCCCAGAAGAGAAGGCAATGCCCAAAGGAGAGGTTTGGGAAACCCCCAGGATGATTCGCCAAATAGAAATATCTTTTGGACACTAAGGTTAGAGAACTAAACCGGCAGGATGTTGGCCTGAATTTGGATGATGACTCATGAAGGATCAGAATGCTATTTCCTTGGGATGAGATTAAAAATACATGTGTACCAGGATTTAGAGGTTTATCTCTAAATAAAGGCTGAAAGAATTTAGCTTTATCTTTCTAAAATGATAAAAGCACCAAACATTTTTTTTAAATAACAACAACAACAACTTTCAGTTAGCCAAATGAAACTTTTCAATTTTGTAAGTAATTCCCAAGGTTGAATAGGAAACATACCGAGTAGTTCAAGGGAGAGTGGAGAGAACATTGTTTCATAGGCTGCATTTGCTTCCCTCCCTCAGAAGCAAACCTCTTCTCTCCCAATGCCCCCTCTACTCCCCTTCTTCTAGAACTTAGTCAAAGCAGAGTTTGTAGGATCAATATGGCCAGGGGCTACCATATTGATCAGAGCAGCTCTAGAGAGTGAATCAGGCTGTGGTGCCCTAGAAAGAAATATCAGAAGGTCTGTTTCCAATGTCCTGTGTGACCCAAAGCTCTTCCTTCTCTAAATCATTATTAGCCATAAACGTTCACTGCTGATGATCATTTCGTAATCAGAAAAATACTTCTTTACTGAACTTGGCTCTTTTCAACTCATGCTAACAGACAGCCACATTTCCCCATGTGCCTTTCTCCCTGTCATAAACCACACCTTTCCTCTACCTGTGCAGAATAGCCATGCTTCCTCCTCTGCCCTGTCCCCTCCCACTTCTCTCTCACATTCTGAACAGGCGACACCACCTCTGGGTGCACCCGACACCTCATTCTCACTACTGAGTACCCATGGACTGAAACATGGTGGCACATTACTGCAAATCACAGGCAACTTACCACCACCATTCAACAGCTGCAAGCAAGCCATTCCAAGCAGAGGAATTCTCATAGTCACGGTGCTTCAATAACACATTAGTGCTTTTTGAGTTTCTTGTCTGTCTTACAGTTGCTGTTATTTTTGTGTTAGCAAACAGAGCTACATAAACTGTTATGAAAAGTATGTCCTTTAAGACCTGCCTAATTTTATCTAATTCCAGGATCCTAAGAAGTTTTCTGGGTGTGAATTTTGTTCCATTTTGTTCCAGGCAAGTCTATGAATGTGTTACCCAAAGAGTGCTCCACCAGGAGAAATCTAAAGCTGGTAAGATGAGCCTAAGGATCTGGCAAAAATCAGCATCCATGGTCTTGGGGATTGCAAATATTCTGCTTGCAGTCTCTTCATAGATTCTTTTGCAGATGGCAATTTTATATGGCTTTACACTGTAACAAGAAGGTAATAAATGGGGTTCTTATACTTCTCCTCTTCACTGATGCCAGGAGAACATAGCCTCTGGTTCTCACCAGCAGGACCTTCTCACTGTTCTTGGCACAAGAAGATGCCAGCAAGTAAAAGTTGCTAAGCGTTGCTTTTAGATAAAAAATAAGATGCACATGGTAGGTTTCACAGCGTGACTTAAGCAAAGTGCCAGGTGCTGTTTTCTTTTAAATATTCTCACTGGAGGGATGGGAGAGGGGAGAAAAAGTGTCAGACTAATCTGCAAATCCAAATGCTTTTTAATGGGGATGTGGACCGCGGCTTTCCTCTGATGGTTTCACGAAACCTCTGCACACACAGGAGAAGAATGTATGCTAGCTGGTAAGAGCGCTGCTGGCAGTCTCCATGGAGCGGGGACGGAGCAGTGCAGATTCTTTTTAAAACATTATTTAAGGTTCTTCTCAGTCATCCACACCGCACATTGATCTTCTGTCACAGTTCTGTGTCTGGAGGGCTGGTACTCTCCATTGATCCACAGAGAGCATTTTTAGTGCATCAAAGAGATACAAAAGGTAGGACTCAGAGGGAAAATCAAGAACCACACTTTTGGTGCTGGACACAGCTCAGCAGTATAAAAGTCACATAAAATATTAAGCTGAACTTGAGGTTTTTTTTAATGTTGTGAAATCTGTTGACATATGAGACTCAATGGGACACAAAAAATGGAAAGGATTAATACCCTCTTCTAATGGAAAAATCTCCCCTGACGGAATAGAAGCCAGCCCTAGGACCTGACAAACTGAATCCCACATTCATCTTTCTGCAAAGGACCTTAGGTTGTAAATCACAAGTGTCTAGGCTGAAAAGTTCAATCAGTCAAGATGTGGTGGTAATGGGTCAAGGTCAGGCATCAATCGAAAGACAGACTGGTTAATTTTACTCCACAGTCGAGTTATGCCACATCCCAATGATAAAATCTATGCTCGTCTCAGGAGCGAGGGGGTGGCTGGCTTGACGGAGCCTGTCACAGCAAGGGACAAAACTACTATAAAGATAGAACTTCCCACCCAAGCCAGAGTGCCAGCCACCCATGGAAGTTCTACCTGTGCCACAAGGTTAGGCTCAGGGTCCCTGTCTCAGTCAGCTTAGGCTGCCATGACAGAATACCACAGTGGTTTAAACAACAGAAATGTATTTTCCCATAATTCCGGAGGCTGAATGTCCCAGATTAGGATGCTGGCAGGGTTGGGTTCTGGTAAAGGCCCTCTTCCTGGCTTGCCTTTCCTCCTCAGTGCAAATGCATGGAGAGAGGAAGAAAGAGATGAGTCTTCCTCTTTTTTTTTTTTTTTTTTTTTTTGAGACAGAGGCTCGCTTTGTCACCCAGGCTGGAGGGCAGCAGCGTGATCTCGGCTTACTGTAACCTCAGCCTCCCAGGTTCAAGCAATTCTCCTGACTCAGCCTCCGGAGTAGCTGGGATTACAGGCACGTGCCACCGCACCCAGCTATTTTTGTATTTTTAGTAGAGACGGAGTTTCATTATGTTGGCCAGGATGGTCTTGATGTCCTGACCTCGTGATCCGCCTGTCTTAGCCTCCCAAAGTGCTGGGATTACAAGCATGAGCCACCACGCCTGACCGATTCTTCCTCTTCTTATAAGCCTACCGATCCTAGTGGACTAGTTCCCACTCTTATGGATTTGTTTAATCTTAATTGCCTCCAGAAAGTCCAGTCTCCAAATACAGTCACACTAGGGGTTAGGTCTTCAATATATGAATCTAGGAAAACACAGTTCAGTCCATCACACTCACCTTCTATACACAGCCTTCTTTCACCTCCCTAATCAGACATAATCTTCCCTGGCGGGGAAAAAAAAAAAAAAAAGACGAAAGAGGATGTTTTTTCTTTGAGGGAGACATTTTAGACACTTTTACCTAAACCTTTTTCTAAACACTGTAAGTTGAACGTGTAAATCAATAATGAAAAGATAACCTGCTCATATCCAAGTGGACAAGTAACTCATGAAGGCTATGGAACAAAAAGCAAGGTCAAAAGAAGACAGTTCTTATGAATTTGCAGATTTAAGCTTCCAAAATGGTGAATTGCACAATCTCTGGTACTTAATAGATTTTCAATGTCTAGTGAATGAACAAATGAATACACAAATGATGGATATTTTCTGATAATGAGAAGAAACTAATATAAATTAAAATCAAAGCTAGAAATGGCCTCATCCATGCTTATTCAAGGCTAGAGTGGACTAAAATGACTACTCCTTTAAAGTCAGGATTTCAAATTATAAAACTATAACATTTCAAACACAGATAATTACACTTCTTATCAAATGCATGGGTTCTTATAAAATAATTCAGTTTAACGTATACCCAATTTAATTAAAATTTATAAGTGGTTGTGGACTAAACCAAGTGTATCTTAATTAAATCAGAACATGACTCACAGATGCTAAGGTCAACCCCCATTTTAATAAAGGAGATGCAAATATAATCATTAGGGACTTGGCTGAGTAATTGTGGTCAGGTGGAAAGTAAGATGAATGGAAGGCCTAGAAAGACCCCTTCTATTCAAGGCTAAAAAGTAAAATGACCCACGGAGTGCACATGCAGAAAGATGGGGTTTCCTGCTCAGCGAGCCACTGAAATGGAGGTAGGAAATTCAGGTATGAAAAACCAAGTCAACAATCAATTAATAAACTCACACTGCATAAGGAACGAGAGGCACTTTCTCTGACAGTTCACACATCATGGCAGGTTGCAGTGGGTTCTGCTATCATCAAAACAATCAGAAATGAAAACAGAACATTCTTAAAGCCAACGCTAAAGCCTGAAGGACTGTATGAATAAGGTTGACAGATAAAATACAAAGTTTTCAGTTAAATTAGAGTTTCAGATACACAACAATTTTTTTTGCTAAAAGTATGTCCTATGCAACAGGCATCCTGTATTGTCTTTTCTAAATTTGGCACCTACCCGTGAACTTAGACCTGTAACAAAAGGCTTATCAAGGAGCTTTCTGTAATTCCAATATAAACCACAACATTTGTTGAAGAATTATCATTAAGGGCTGACCAAAGTCTTAAAATAGAAAGTGCATACCTGAATTACACTGTAGGCTCACTGCCAGCCCTTGGAAGGGATGCGGAGAGACGATCTAAATTTTAACATTCGGGTCATTCCTATCCGCCTGCCTGGGAGTCCTTCTTCTGAATGTATCTCCCCCAGAGCACAGCAGACTCTGAGGAATGTGTCAGTCACAGGGAGCTATGCTGGTCAGAAAATCAATCCAGAAGTGGTGATTTCAGGTCTATTCTGTAAACAGAACTGTGCTGTTAATCAAAGCCCAATGGCACCTCTGCACCCCTAGAGACTCTGTGGGCAGATGAAGAAATGGAGGCCATAGACAGTGAAATGGCTTTTCCAAGGTTTAGCTGGGTCTCCCTGGCAGAGCTAAGACTAGCACCCTGCTATTGTAAATCACCTTTCCATGAGTCTTTCAGTATAGAATAAAGTTTATAAGTGCTATTGAAGCTCGGAAAAAAAAAAATATATATATATATATACACACACACAAACACACACACATCTATTATATATATACAAATATATATAAATTTATATATATACCCACAAATTTCTTGCTCTTTGGATATTTAGGAAAAAATTTAGATAGGTGAAGATATCACTCATTTAACAATGTTTATTCACTGTCAACTTCATGCTCAGCACTGTTGTAGATGCTGGGACCACAGACACAATGTTGCCCTATAAGAAGATTTACCAGATGCTCACCACAGCCTTCCCCACCTCCTGCCAGGCACAACCAGACTACATTTCCCAGCCTGCCTTGCAGCTATGTGGACATGTGACTGAGCACTAGCCAAGGGAATGAAGGTGGGAGTGATGTCAGATATTCCCAGGCTAGGTCTATTGGAAAACTTCTGCATTAGTCGGAGTTCCTCAGAGAAACAGAATCAACAAGAGAGATGGAGATGGAGATAGAGAAACATGAAGAGATCTAGAGATAGAGATTGGGAGAGGTAAAAAGATCTATTATAAGGTATTGTCTCACATGATTATGAAGGCAGAGAAGTCTTACCATTTGCACTGGCAAGCTGGACACCCAGAAAGCCAGTGCTGTAGTCTGAAGGCTGGAGAGCCAGAGAGCTTAGAGTGTAGATTCCAGTCTAAGCCTGAAGTCCTGAGAACAAGAAGCATGAGAGAAAAAGAAGGTTGACGTCCCAGCTCAGACAGTTGGTTAGAATGGGAATTCAACCTTCCTCAGGCTTTGTGTTCTGTTCAGGCCCTCAGTGAATTGAATGATGTCCACCCACATGGGTGAGAGCAAACTACTTTACACAGTCTATGGATTCAAATGCTCATCTCTTCTAGATAACCCCTCCCAGACACACCAGAAATCATGTTCAACCAGCTACACGGACATCCTATGGTCCAGTCAAGCAAACACCTAAAATTAACCATCATACCCTCCATGCGAAAGGAGGCAGAAGATCCAGCAGAAAAGTCCCAGGCCCCAGAGGAAGAAGGACTCACAAAACATGTCCCTGAATCACTACCTGGAAGGCTGGGCACCAGACACTCACATAGAGCTGTCACAAGAGGAGAGAACTAATCCTCTAGTGTGTGAAGTGGCTGAGGTGCAGGAGTCATTTGTTCCAGCAGAGAGACAACCATGATACACTGCCCTGGTGAAACTGAGAGAAAAGACAGGTTCTGGGCAAATACACAAACGAAAACAGATATGATTGCAACTTGTTGTGAGTATTTTGTAGAAACAATATGAGCACAATGATGAAGAAAAGCTGAGATGCAGGAGGCTGCTCTGATAGGTTTAGGCATGACTGGTAATGAGCCAATTATAATAAGAACGGTGAGAATAATAGCAGATGCTACTACAGTGTCCCCTTTGTGGAAGGCCCTGGGATATATATTTCATGCACTGTAACTCATTTACTCTCACAACAACCTATGAGGTAGGAATTATTATCATCTCCATTTTATAGATAAAAGTGAGGATCCTTGAAGCCACCTATATTATTTCATTCTCATGCTGCCATAAAGAAATACCTGAGACTGGGTAATTTACAAAGGAAAGAGGTTTAATTGATTCACAGTTCGGCAGGGCTGGGGAGGCCTCAGGAAGCTTACAATCATGGCAGAAGGGGAAGTAAACACGTCCTTCTTCACATGGCAGCATGAAGGAGAAGTGCCGAGCAAAGAGGGAAAAGCCCCTGATAAAAATCACTGGGTCTCGTGAGAACTTATTATTATGAGAACAGCATGGAGGGAACTGCCCCCCATGATTCAGTTAGCTCCCACCAGGTCCCTCCCATGACATGTGGGGATTATGGGAACTACAATTCAAGATGACATTTGCATGCGGACACACTCAAGCCTTGTCACCAGCATATTTCCTGATTGGTCAAAGCCTGTACTATACCAACTGTTAAGTCTTTATTATTTTTTTATTATTATTATACTTTAAGTTCTGGAATACATGTGCAGAACATGCAGGTTTGTGACATAGGTATACATGTGCCATGGTGGTTTGCTGCACCCATCAACCCATCATCTACATTAGGTATTTCTCTTAATGCTATCCCTCCCCTAGCCACCCACACCCCACAGGCCCCAGTGTGTGATGTCCCCCTCCCTGTGTCTATGTGTTCTCATTGTTGAACTCCCACTTATGAGTGAGAACATGCAGTGTTTGGTTTTCTGTTCCTGTGTTAGTTTGCTGAGGACAATGGTTTCCAGCTTCATCCATGTTCCTGCAAAGGACATGAACTCATCCTTTTTTATGGCTGCACAGTATTCCATGGTGTATATGTGCCACATTTTCTTTATCCAGTCTATCACTAATGGGCATTTGGGTTGGTTCCAAGTGTTTGCTCTTGTGAACAGTGTTGCAATAAACATACGTGCACATGAGTCTTTAGAGTAGAATGATTTCTAATCCTTTGGGTATATACCCCGAAATGGGATTGCTGGGTCAAATGATATTTCTGGTTCTAGATCCCTGAGGAATCACCACACTGCCTTACACAATGGTTGAACTAATTTACACTCCCACCAACAGTGTAAAAGCATTCCTATTTCTCCACATCCTCTCCAGCATCAGTTGTTTCCTGACTTTTTAATAATCACCATTCTAACTGCCATGAGATGGTATCTCATTGTGGTTTTGATTTGCATTTCTCTAATGACAAGTGATGTTGAACTTTTTTCATATGTTTGTTGGCCGCATAAATGTCTTCTCTTGAGAAATGAGAAATGTCTGTTCATATAGCCCACTTTCTGATGGGGTTGTTTTTTTCTTGTAAATCTGTTTAAGTTCCTTGTAGATTCTGGATATTAGCCCTTTGTCAGATGGACAGATGGCAAAAATTTTATCCCACTATGTAGGTTGCCTGTTCACTCTTATGATAGTTTCTTTTGCTGTGAAAAAGCTCTTTAGTTTAATTAGATACCATTTGTTAATTTTGGATTTTGTTGCCATTGCTTTTGGTGTTACAGTCTTAAAGTCTTTGGCCATGCCTATGTCCTGAATGGTATTGCCTAGGTTTTCTTCTAGGGTTTTTCTATGGTTTTAGGTCTTATGTTTAAGTCTTTAGTGCATCTTGAGTTAATTTTTGTATAAGGTGTAAGGAAGGGATCCAGTTTAAGTTTCCTGTATATGGCTAGCCAATTTTCCCACTACAATTTATTAAATAGGGAATCCTTTCCCCCATTGCTTTTTTCAGGTTTGTCAAAGATGTGTGGCATTATTTCTGAGGCCTCTGTTCTGTTCCATTGGTCTAAGTATCTGTTTTGGTACCAGTAGAATGGTGTTTTGGTTACTGTAGCCTTGTATAGTTTGAAGTCAGGTAGCATGATGCCTCCAGCTTTGTTCTTTTTGCTTAGAACTGTATTAGTTATATGGGCTCTTTTGGCTTCATATAAAATTTAAAGTAGTTTTTTTTCTAATTCTGTAAAGAAAGTCAATAGTAGCTTGATGGGGATAGTATTGAATCTATATATTACTTCGGGTAGTATGGCCATTTTCATGATACTGATTCTTCCTATCCATGAGCATGGAATATTTTTCCTTTTTTTTCTCTTTTTTTTTTTTTCCTCTCTTATTTCATTGAGCAGTGGTTTGTAGTTCTCCTTGAAGAGGTCCTTCACATCCCTTATAAGTTGGATTCCTAGGTGTTTTGTTCTCCCTGTAGCAATTGTGAATGGGAGTTCACTCATGATTTCGCTTTCTGTTTATTATTGGTGTATATGAATGCTTGTGATTTTTGCACATTGATTTTGTATCCTGAGACTTTGCTGAAGTTGCTTATCAGCTTAAGGAGATTTTGGGCTGAGACAACGGAGTTTTCTAAATATATAATCATGTTATCTGCAAACAGAGACAATTTGACTTCCTCTCTTCTTATTTGAATACCATTTATTTCTTTCTCTTGCCTGATTGCCCTGGCCAGAACTTCCAATATTATGTTGAATAGGAGGGATGAGAGAGGGCATTCTCGTCTTGTGCCGGTTTTCAAAGGGAATGCTTCTAGCTTTTGTCCATTTAGCATGATATTGACTGTGGGTTTGTCATAAATAGCTCTTATTATTTTGAGATACATTCCATCAATATCTAGTTTATTGAGAGTTTTTAGCATGAAGTGATGTTGAATTTTATCAAAGACCTTTTCTGCATCTATTGAGATAATCATGTGTTTTTTGTCATTGGTTCTGTTTATGTGATGGATTACCTTTATTGATTTGTGTATGTGGAACCAGCCTTGCATCCCAGGGATGAAGCTGACTTACTGTGGTGGATAAGCTTTTTGATGTGCTGCTGGATTCCGTTTGCCAGTATTTTATTGAGGATTTTCGCATCAATGTTCATCAGGGATATTGACCTGAAATTTTCTTTTGTTGTTGTGTCTCTGCCAGGTTTTGGTATCAGGATGATGCTGGCCTCATAAAAAGAGTTAGAGAGGATTCCATTTTTTTCTATTATTTGGAATAGTTTCAGAAGGAATGGTACCAGCTCCTCTTCATACCTCTGGTAGAATTCAGCTGTGAATCCATCTGGTCCTGGGCTTTTATTGGTTTGTAGGCTATTAATTAATGCCTGAATTTCAGAACTTGTTATT